GCTCCAGCGCCCAAGAGACGAGGCCGACAAGGGGGGAGACAAGCATGAGTTCATCAAGATCAACTCCGCCTACGAGCTCATCCGCGCTTCCATCCTGTCTTGATCAGGAGCCAAGTAGCACCATGGGGAATTGTTGAGACAGTTTTGTCGGGCAGAGGCCTTTGCCACGTGCCCAGCAAGCTTAGCAACCGTTATGTGCCCTCGGCAAGCATTTTCCGATGGATCGCCGGAAACAGCCTCTGGACGATCACATGTGCTGAAGGCTATCTTATGGACCACAAGTGTCGAAGCAAACCCAAACTGAGAGAGACGCATGTGACAGACATGAAACATGAAGGCGCATCTGCTCAGACGGGCATGCGCCCGACATAGGATGTTGAGGCACTTTGTTGGCATGGCTGCTCGGCTGCTCCTACCATTCTCTGTTCCCGCCGCGGTTTTGCACGATTTTTTCTGCTTTACTTGATCTTGACTTGTTTTTAGAATGTGTTTCGCATGAACCAGGCAGTGCATTTCTCAAGCAACGCTTGCAAGCAAAAACCCGCGCATCGGTTGCCCTTCGACACCAAGGGGCGCAGTCCTTCATTGTAGTTCCGCTCTAGGACAGTCTTTTCTGTTCGACCGGCACACCAGCTCTTGACGCTTGGCTGCTTTGTCGCATCTGCGTGCTTACGGGGCCCTCCGTGGCCTAGCAGTTGTGCCCAGAAGGAGCTTGAAGATGGAGACTTCCATGGAGATAGGACCGGTGCAGAGCTGGGTGGACCTCTTAGGAATGATGCCATGGGCCGTGGAAGCAGCATTCTCTGAAGGTTCCGTGAATGTTAGGCCGGAGCTGGCAGAGGCTGAACACCTTTGCCAAACTTCACCCAGCTACATGGACATTACTTGCATGCCAGTGAAGGGAGATGTGGGCTGTGCATAGTCCGCAAGGATTGCACTGCTCAGGGGTGAGAGTTACCACTAAGCTAGCACCACACCGCACAGTGGCGAGAATGAAAATGGCTGCGTGCAAGCATTCTGCATTCTGCGCCTTCAACGAATACGCGCTGCGAAGTCTGAACACCTAAACCCTCGAAAGACAGTCTCTTTCGCCTGGACATGTGATATGACACCAAAAGACTTGGGGCATAAAGTGGGAAGCAGGTGGGGTGATATTCCTCAAGCAACAACCCCCGAACTTTTCGGAAACAACTGTTCGTCGTTTCAACACCTGCTTAAAGATAAAAATTCGTTGGCAAGCCTTCTGTGCGATGCCGTGTAGCTTCAAAACCTGACGCCATGAAACAAACCTGAGAAATCCACGAGTAGACTGGTTGGGTTTTGGTGGTCACTGCTATTGTTCTTTTCGCGAATGTTGATGCTTTGATCCGAGCAATCATGTAGACAAAACCAGCGCAGCTCGTTTTTGGTCGTACTACTACATCTAAAGATCTGCAATCTTAGATTCGGGACTTCTTCTTTGTGGCCCGGCATCGCCATGACGGTGGTGGGCATTTCCAGAGGCTATGAGCCCGGACGCGTGCTGCTCATCTTGCCCACCACCGACATAGGCCAACTCTAGAGCCAAGTTCAGGGGTTTGACAGCTCTTTTCCTCTGGGGATTTAAAGGTCTGGGCTTTAGCCCCCGGGGGAGGGGGGCTGATTTAAAATTCTGGGTCTTAGCCTTTGGAAGAGGGGGGCTGAGGGCTTCTTGACCCTGGTGGTGGGCGCTGGGCAGGTGTCAAGCACGCCACCTTGGCAGAAGATGCCTCGCTGCAACCGGACCTCCAAGAAGCTTCCCGCCTGCTCGCAGAAGCAGAGGCGGCTCTGAGCAGGGGACGTATCGAGGACCGGGGAAGATGGGGTTTAGGGTTTAGGGTTCAGGGTTTAGGGTTTAGGGGTTCAGGGTTTAGGGTTTAGGGGTTTAGGGTTTAGGGTTTAGGATCCCAGAGGCAAGAGGCTCAAGAGCTAGTCGGTTTGGAGGTATGGAGCTGAGACAACTCGATGTCGTCTAGGGGTCTGCATCGCAATGACAGTTGCGTTTCATAGTTGAAGGGCCCAGGGAAGCGTTCAGGTACACATTCTGTTTGCAGGCGTATTAAGTGCCCTACATCCTAAAGAATGAAACCCTAAACCCTAAACCCAGAGTGTTGTGATAGTTGTTTTTGTCGTCGTTATCGTTGTCGTTATTATTATTTTATTCTCATGACTATCATCATCACTATTATTATGATAATGTGATTATGATGACTATTATTATGGTTGCTATCTGAATGTTGAGGATTCCCAGTCTGTCGCCAAGAAGGCCCTGGAACAGTTTCGGGCCTGCAAGAGTGTCCAAGGCGTGGCCGATGCTACCCGTGTGCTGCTCGGGTGCATTTGTGTTTAGGGCTTTCGGGGTTGAGGGGTTAAGGGTTTAGGGTTTAGGGAGGCTTGTCTGACTGTAGCAGAGAGGCAAAGAGCCTCAGCAAAACATGCTTGAGGCTTTAATCAATTCTTAAACCTGTTCTCTAAACCCAAAACTTTAAGCCCTGCCCGCCAAACCCTTAAACCCTCAACCCTACACCCCCAACACCCCTAAACCCCTTTTTCCTACACCCCAAACCCCAAGCCATGGTTTGGGCACGGCAGCTTCCACCCAGGGCGATGTGCGCGCTGGCAGAATTCGAGTCCCGGAAGGAGGCTCTCGCCTTAGGCCAGGAGCATCTCAAGGACTCTTTGGGCTTTGGGCTCTTAGGGTCGTATTGGGCTTTGGGGCTTAGGGTATAGGGTCTAGGGTCGTATTGGGCTTTGGGGGTTTAGGGCTTCTAGGGTTTAGGGTGTTGGGTATTGGGTTTGGGGTTCAGGGCTTGAAGTTTGTTTTCAGGGGTTTTTGGACGGGTTGCTTAAGGTGTTCTAGATACTTAGTAGCACCTCAAGGACTCCAGTGCTTTGGGGTTTTAGGGTCGTGATAGGTTTTTCTTCCCAACAACGGCTAGACAGGCCTTAATGGTTTGATTATGAGTTGTCAATATTTGTTTAGAAGAGTCGGTTTTAACCAAGGCTGTTGTCTCGGATTTTGATCGGTTCTTACAAGCGTCCTATTTCTTTTTTTGGCTTGTCAAAATTCCTTGTAGGGTGGTTGAACCCTCCACACCCTTAATCCACAGGGTGGCTGTGGGTTTGGGTTCAATGTTTGCGGCACTGAGGTTGAGGTTATCTGGGCTTCTGCTTCTTGGGGAGCGAGTTTGTTTCGAAGAGCTGCTTCTGAAGGATGTAAACGCTAAACCTTAAACCTAAATCCTAAACCCTAAACCCTAGCCCGTTTCGAGATCAGGGGTGCCGAGATCGATGGTCAGAACGTGTCTTCACAAAGTGGAGATTGAATGAAGAGCAGCAATGTAGTGCCAGTGAGACATAGTGAGACAAGACGACGAGGAAAAAGATGCCAGGTATCAGCGGATCTGGCACGTCTAGGCACGCTACGTTTCCTCAACCCTGAACTTGAAACTCTCCACTCAACCCCCACACTCCGCAAACCTTCAATGTGTAGAAGCCTTCAATGGCCCCTAAAAACCCTAAACTCTCGAACCTAAATCCTAAGCTCCAAACCAAAAGAGCTTAAGGGTTTAATGTTTGAGGCTTAGGGTTTAGAGCTTGACGGTTTAGGAATCCTAAACTCCCAACCATAAGAGCTGAACGCCCAACCCTCAACTCTCAACCCGGAAATCCTTCGCTGACCCCAAACCTTAAGACTTAAACCCTCAACTCTAAACCCTAAACCCTCGGCCCTAAACCCTAAACCCTAAACCCCTAAACCCTAAACCCTAAGCAGGACGTCCGTGCGGCTGGAAACAAAGAGCAGGAGGCCATGGCCTTGCAGTCCCTTGCAGAGGTGCTCAAGGGGCCTCTCCTGTTTGAGGGCCTAGGGCCGAGTTTCGGATTTAGGGTTTACTTGGAGGTTCATGGGTAGGGTTATAAGTAGGGTAGCTATACTGATAACTTATAACTTATAATCCATATTAGGGGGCTTGTACCCCTACTTATAACTGCCCATGAAAACTCCAAGTCGGGTTTTAGGGTCTAGGGTCGAGTCTAGGTTTCTTCGGGTTTCTCTGCGGGGTCTCTTTTCAGGGTCTCAGAGGTTACAGGCATGTAAACGGCTTTCTATATACACAGTATACCTAAAACCCTAAACCCTAAACCCGAAACCCTGCCGCATTTATCCGGATGGAAGGATGGCAGATGCGTGAAAAATCGGGCATGGGGCTTAAAAATACATAGGTCGAATGCCGTGCTCAATCACATGAAGTGGGCCATGCATGCCTTTGAAGCCAGGGTTCCGAAAACAAGTCCACACACATCGCTAAAGCCGCTTCGAAGGACGCAGCCCCTGCATCTCAAGCCCAGCATGCCATCTAAGCCGGGTCTGGCCGCCATGGCCTTGAGGAACATTTCCGGATATCCCGCCACGGTCCTTTGGACCCCCAGACCTTATCCTCAAGCCCAGCGCTGAGTTGCAGATTGGCTCCACAGCAGCTCTGTGCTGCATGGAACCGTACAGCTACACCCGCCCATGCCTTTGCACCTCGGCAAGTGAGGATCTTCAGTGTGAGACCGGTCTTGGACAGACCTGTGATGCCGGGAAGGAGCTTTGGGACTGCTTCCAGACCGGGCAGATGTGCCAGCCACAAACCACATGCCATGCAACGCTGGCAAATGATCAGAGCAGTGCAGAATACTGCGCAGCAATCCGAGACCAAGTTGCCTGCGACACAGACGTTGCATGTCATTATCAGGAGAACACTGACCTGGTCCACACTTTTGCATGCATGGCCATTGCCGGCCATGAGAGCTACTCGTTCGGATGCAGGAAGTTGTCGCGATCTGAATGTATCGCCCAGACCTTCTGCACATGGAGCCTCCAGAGCCTCCAAGGCTCGCGATGCCTTGGCAATGGCGATTGGCTTGGCTGCGAGCCGCTGCACGAAGCAATTCCTCGCGACAAGTGCGACTTTCCCGACAACAGCTCTTGTGCTACGGAAGCCAGCATTTGTGGATGGAAAGGCTACTGCTCGTGCAGCGTGGATTATGTGGGGGACAACTGCAGTCAGCCAGTGGTGGAATTCCAAGTTGATGATGCATGCTTGGTTCTGGTTGATGCTGATGACGATCAGCGTTCCCGTGACCAAGACCTCTGCAGAGGCTTGAGGTTTCGAAAATTACATACATGCTGCTTCGAGCTGCTGCTAGGGATGCACCTGACCTGCCGTCCTAGAGCCCTGGCCCCTCCTAGAACGCATCTTCCTTTATCCAGATGTCACGACAACTCACCTGGGCAATTGATTCCACGGAAATTAGGCACTACGTAGCCTGAACAGTACTCAACACACCATCTGAGCCTATTGGAACAGCTTCAGCGAGGCCTGGTGTATGTGGCTTCCTCCGCCGACCAAGATCGCTGCTTGAATCGCCAAGGCTGCTTGCGGTGGCAACAAGCCAGGATGACGGTGTCCACTCTCAGGGACTGCGAGGTCGCAGACATCGTTGTGGATGCCATGCTCACCATCTTCTTCTGGTTTCTGGTGAAGAAGTGGTGGAGTGGGGCTGCTCATGAAGGGAAGACCGATGCCGCCAAAAAGGTTAACGACAAGGAGGGCGCCGCTGACATCGAACGTGACAAGGAGCGTGAAGGCAAGGAGGAGGGTGCCGGCCGACTTGCTGTCACCACCGACAAAAAGCGTGAAGGCAAGGAGGAGCTTGCCGCCGATGGCAAAAGCGACCAGGACAAGGCAAGCGTATTCACAAGAAAAAGCAGTTGCATCACCACCACGATCAGCTTCACTGTGGACATTCTGCTTCAAGCTGGCGAGGTGACTGCCGTTGAGGATGCAGGCGAGGCTGTCACGGAGCTCAGAGCTGCTGGATGCTTTCATCCTCATGGCGATGCCTTTGCAACTCTGGTTATCTTGGACGATGTTGTTGGAACCATCTTATCTTTTGGTTTATTCAACTTCGTGCTGGCCTGCCTCGGTGGACTGGCCTTTGTCATTCACACTATCCTGGAGCACGAGAGGTCGGGCTGGAGACGTGAGGTGCTCAGTAAATTATTGTTGGTCGGCTCCAGCCTGGCAGCAGTGGGAGAGCTTGGCCTTGGGGTTGTCAACTACTGGTCGAACACCAAACATCTTGTAGACCAGCTGGAGACCTTGGAGAAGGCGGCTCTTGGCTTGAGCACAGAGGAAGGGCAGATGTGTGCCGTTAGAGGAACTCCAGGGACAGGAAATGGAGTGGAGGAGACTACCCACATAGGAATTCCATGGAACCCCTGGCTCCTGACACTTCCACCGTTTCTGGTGTTCGTCAGCTACGTGTCGCTATTCCTTTTCATCTTTTGCCGGTCCCAAAACACACAAGTTGGGTCGGATATCGAAGATGACCCGAGCGCTGCTCAGCTGCATGGGCAGTGGTTGCACAGGTTTTGTCACGTTCAGATGTAGCCTGGTGACAGCCGTCGCACGCACATTGTAAATTGTTGAAACTTTTCAGCTGTGCCCTTGTAGATTGATTCTTTGCAAATGTTCAGCCAATGCGACAACAACAGAGACGTCGTTTGTGGGCCTACGCAGCAGCATGGGCAGCAGCATGGGTAAGGCATTGGACGAGGGCGGCAGGGGCAATTCGGAACCACCCGCTGCTCCGCTGCATGGACGGACGGTGCATATTTTGGCATTCTCACTCTGTGTAGATTCTTGCAGGCGGTCGAGGTAGGCAAACCAGCGATGCTCTCAGTGCTGCCTGAGCTGCCTGGCCAACTCCCTGCTCCGCTGCATGAACATGGGACCGCTGCTCTGCTGCACGGACATTGATGGAGCAGATTTTGTCAGCGATAGATGTGGCCCTGTAGATTCTTGCAATCGGCCAAGGCAGACGGCAGTTGTGAGTTTCAGGGTTTTTCAGGTCAGTTTCGGTGTTGAGTTTCGGGTCAGGCCCTGGGTCAGTTTCGCTTAGCTTGGCCACTGAATCCCGAACAAGTTCGCCAGCCCCAGCAGTCGGCTGCCATGGGGTCTGTGAGTTCCATGGCATGGCATGCATTCTGTGGGGTGCTGTTGATGCGAAGTTCGGCATCGTTGTTTGTGGCACAGATAGCGGTTCAGGCTATGCTGGTCATCCAGAAAGATGCCAAAAGAGGCCCGCTGAGACAATGTATAAAACCCTTGGGCAAGGAGGCGGAGGGAGTAGGGACGATCGCGTCTTGCTTTCGGATTTCGGGCTTCCAGTATTCGGGGTGCTGCCCAGCTCCGCATTCGGCTCTTGACTGACGGAGAGAGGTTTTGCACTAAGGCATCATGAAGGTTGGAGGGTGCCTCGTCTCCAATCCCTTCATGCCCTCGCCTGCAGGCGAGAAGCAGCGCAACTCTGAAGCCTCGGAGGAAGGAATCCTGTCGATCGGAGCCAGTGACGTCGTCCACATCCAGAACGGGATCCTGATGGCGTCCAAAAGGCTCTCGCAAGCCCGGTTCGAAATCGCGGACGCAAAGACTTTTCCCAAGCTGCCCCCAGGCGTGACTCCGTTGAGCCGTGTCTTGAGGCTCCTGCCACATGAAAGGCGCTTCCAGGAGCCCGTGATGCTGTTGCTGCCCATTACGGGCGGGATCGGGGTCGAGGCTGCCAAATTGTGGCGCTCGAAGCCCTCTGGGGAATGGGAGGTGACCAAAGATGTACCGACCAAGGTGTTCAAAGAGGTATCCCTTCTCCGATTCTGGCTTGAACATTTCTGTTATGCGTTTGCCGGTGTCGTGAAAGATGAGACGAGTGTGTCGCCTCCGCCTCGGAGCCTGTGGAGCATGCGGTGCCCGTGGAGCATGCGGTGCTACTGCTTGCGGCGCTTGCGGGGCATGTGGCCTCCGTGGCCACCAGCAGAAGATGTCGAGTGTGGCAAGTGGCCCCTTGTCGAAAGCGCATTTCGGTTTTCTTGCTGTCTGAGATGCTCCTTTTTGCATTGAAAAACAATCCGTATTCAGCGGAAGTACGCCTTCCAAGACTGAGTCTTGAGCCGAACCGTCTCGCAGCCTTTGTCTTCTCCACGTGGCTCAGGTTTCTGGATGTGCCTCCAGAAGGCCTCTATGTCGAGGCCGCGGACCCTGCCGGAGCTCCTTCGGGTGTTCGGGGTTTGCTCATCCTGCATGTAATGGAACGACTTGAAGATAAATTCGGGGTGGTTTTTGGCAGGTTTACAGCCCGGAGAACACCCTCATCGCCGGAGGTGGAGGGCAGCGTCTTTTTTTTGGGCATCACAGGGAGGGGGGCGAGGAAAGTATATCTTCGTGTTTAGCATGTGCAGCTCTGTCGAGAGCTTACATGTGAAGTACCGGTATGCATGATGATGATACACCGCATTCAAGGGTGCCTTGAGCATGCCTTAGCCACATGCTCTCGCGTGCTGTCTCTAAAGCCCGTGGGCTGGGCTTCAATTGCGAAGGTCCGGTCGGCCAAGAAGACTTTCCTCTCATTTCATATGCACAACTTCAGCAGGTGGCCTCTGGGCCAGCAGTAGTCTCTTGAGTTTCTGGAAAACGAATTCACAATTGACAAAGCCGAGGCTGCTGCAATTGCAGGTGTGGAGGAAGACACTCCGCTGCTTTTCAAGGCACCGCACAGGGACACAGGAAGTATGAGGTTGGGCAGCATGAACAATTGGTCCGCGACTCCGCACAAAGCGGCAATTCGGCAGTTGAGCGCGTCTTTCCGTGTCCACCGATGGCACGCGACCTGATGCCCGGCCAGGTGCTTCCATATTTGCCTCCTCCTCCTCCTCCTCCTCCTCCACTTCCGCCTGCACCCGAAGACGACCAGCCCCCGCCTCCTCCACTTCTGGCACCTTTGCCATCTCGATCTGACGATGAGCCAGCGCCGGCACAGCCTCAGCCGCCGCCTCCTCAGGCAGCTCCTGCTGCAGAAGAGATGTGTAGAAAGTCTTCCACTGTGCAGGTTGTCTTTTCGTAGTTCAGGTGGCAGTGACAGTGTCGTAGTACCGTGGTTGCTTTAATCTGTTGTGACCGGTTAGAGCGCACATGCTGCTGCTGCTGCAGTGTAGCACCTACGCATAGATAGCAATCCAAACAAAACGCAACGTACACTGCGGCTCCTTGCACTTGCCAGGATGAGAGAACCCACCTCATGGTCTCCGGGCGTTTCAATGACAAGGAAATGGTGGACTACATCAAAGCAGTTCGGGACATCTTGACTCAGAAGGGAGTCCCCATCTTCATGGTTGACACCCAGGGACCCGGGGATGCTTTTGGTAGCCAGACTCTGCAAGGCCTCTACACGGCCAAGGCGTTGCTTGCTTTCTGTGGCACGAACTACGGGCAGCGCACAGGAGATTTTGCACGTGCACGTGACATAAGGCTTCGCCATTTCCTTTCTCAAGACTTTCGAGAGTTGCGTGTCCCCCCGAAACGGAGCATGGCATGATGAAGTTCTTAGGGCTTAGGGCCCCAAGCCTCATGCAAGCAGGAGCGCGCTACGAAACATACGTGGAACTTCGCTATGCCCATGACAACAACCTCGACATCATTCCTATCCAGCTCTGCCACACTTTCCCTCCTCGCCCACCAGATTTGGAAGGTCGAATGCAGAACCATGTAGTTTTGCAAAGGGATGTGATGCGCATCATGGACAAGGATATGAACGAATCAGAGCGCGTCGCCGACGAGATCCTCGAAGCCTGGACCAGTCGGCTTCAACACCTCCGAGTATATGTAAAGCCTTATTGATTCTGCGCAGTGGCTTGGGCCACAAGTCAGCTCACTGCTCAAAGCAGCAGAGACGTCATACATGGGAAGCAGCTCCAAAAGGAGCCAGGCCGCATCTTTTGACGGGTTTGGGGTCGATGCGGGTGTGGAGGTCTCGGGTTCAGGGGTTTTGGGGCTCAAGGTTTAGATGGGTTTAGCTATTTTAGTGTTTAGGGTGGCGTTGTGATAGTAGTGTGGTTGTTGTTTAGGCTCTTCAGGTTTCGTCCTGCGCTACCACGAGAATCGACATGGGAAAGCGCAGGAAGCATACAATCTATATGTAATAAGAAATATATATATATATATTATATATATTATATATATATATAATATTATATATATATGTATATTATAATCACAGACGAACCCTGAATTACAGCCCATACTCTTCGTCCCAAAGCCCTTTGCCTCGACCTGAAGCCCTAACCCTAGACCCGAAAGGTGTGACACTCTGCACCGAAAGCCAATGCTTCAAACCCGACGAATCCGAGAAAACACGAAGTCCTAAACTCCTACACCCCGCAGGGGTCTTTGAGTTGAGGTTGAGCGTACAAGCTGGGCTTAAGCCCCCTTTTGTCAAAGGGGGGTGGGCCCACCCTCCAGAAAGGATACCAGCTTCTAGGCAAAGTCGATGGCGTTAAGATGCGGAATGCTCTCTGTTTTGCATGCTGCGACCCAGGAGTCCAAAGGCAAGTGCTGCCCTCGGTTTCTTTCTGTTCTGCTGAATCACCAGAACATGCATCAGGTTCGTTCCAATGCCGAGGCTAAAGACAGAGAAGCTTGAGTACTTCATGAAGCAGAGGGAGGTGTCTGGTCCGCTTTCAGAGCAAAGCCGGAGAGCCTTGGCACTTGGGGGTGCACCCGAGGCCCGAGCGTGGGACCAGAGTGCTGAGCTGAGTCTCAGCACTATGCCAAATTGTGGAAGCTAAAGTCTCATGATACGGCCGGCGTTCAAGACATGCCTTCTAAAGCTGATGAGCCTGTCGAGCTCGTTTCAGCAGTCCGATCAAACAGATGATTCCGATGTTGTCATGGACCAAGACGAAGCTGAGCTCATGTTGATTGAGTGCAAGAATCGCTACGGCACGCAGCTCATGCGCCTGGAAATGGCTGGTATCGTGAGCAAGTCCATTCAGTAGGGGCTGGCAAAGAGCGGTGTTGGCATGGCAGTGGGCACTGCTGCAGCTGCTTCGCAACTCGTGGGCATGTCTGCCCAGACTGCCCAGGCTGCTACACGCTCATTGAATTCTGCTATGTTTGCAGATGTCTTCTCTGTAATCTCCTATGCTTGAGGAGATGTCCTAAGCACCTTGAAATTTTCTCGAATGGCTGGTGCTGCCAGCGCGGATGCTGCGGCCAGGCAGCAGCTGGCAACGAGGCTCGGCAATCTGGGAACTGTATGCAAGTGGACATCCAGGGCAGGCGCCGTTCTATCCGTGGGCATGATGGGCTGGGAGCTCTACAGCAATGTCCGACAATGGTGGAAAGGGGAAATTGACGGCCCTGCCTGCGTCGGGAACCTGCGAGAATGAAAATGGCTGTGCGCAAGCATTCTGCATTCTGCACCTTCAACGAATAGGGACTGCGAAGTCTGAACATCCAAACCCTCGAAAGACAGTCTCTTTCGCCTGGACATGTGATATGACACCAAAAGACTTGGGGCATCCAGTGGGAAGCAGGTGGGGTGAGATTCCTCTAGCAATAACCCCCGGACTTTTCGGAAACAACTCTTCGTCGTTTCAACACCTGCTTAAAGATGAAAATTCGTTGGCAAGCCTTCTGTGCGATGCCGTGTAGCTTCAAAACCTGACGCCATGAAACCAACCTGAGAAATCCACGAGTAGACTGGTTGGGTTTTGGTGGTCACTGCTATTGTTTTTTTTCGCGAATGTTGATGCTTTGATCCGAGCAATCATGTAGTCAAAACCAGCGCAGCTCGTTTTTGGTCGTACTACTACATCTAAAGATCTGCAATCTTAGATTCGGGACTTCTTCTTTGTGGCCCGGCATCGCCATGACGGTGGGCATTTCTAGAGGCTATGAGCCCGGACGCGTGCTGCTCATCTTGCCCACCACCGACATAGGCCAACTCTGGAACCAAATTCAGGGGCTTGACAGCTCGTTTCCTTTTGGGATTTAAAGGTCCCCTAGACCCTAAACCCTAAACCCCGGAGGGGGGCTGAGGGCCCTGGGCAGGTGTCAAGCACGCCGCCTTGGCAGAAGATGGCTCGCTGCAACCGGACCTCCAGGAAGCTTCCTGCCTGCTCGCAGAAGCAGAGGCGTCCCTTAGCAGGGGACGCATCGAGGACCGGGGAAGATGGGGTTAGGGTTCAGGGTTTAGGGTTTAGGGTTCAGTGTTTAGGGTTTAGGGTTTAGGGTGGTGGATCCTAGAGGCAGGAGGCTCAAGAGCAAGTCGGTTTGGAGGTATGGAGCTAAGACAACTCGATGTCGTCTAGGGGTCTGCATCGCAATGGCAGTTGTGTTTCATGCTTGAAGGGCCCAGGGAAGGGTTCAGGTACACATTTTGTTTGCAGGCGTATTAAGTGCCCTACATCCTAAAGAATGACACCCTAAACCCTTAACCCGGAGTGTGGTGACAATTTTTTTTGTCGTCGTTATCGTTGTCGTTATTGTTGTTTTTATTGTCATGATTGTCATCATCATCACGATTACTATGGTTATGTGATTATGAGGATTATCATTATGATTACTATCTGAATGTTGAGGATTCCCAGTCTGTCGCCAAGAAGGCCCTGGAACAGTTTCGGGCCTGCAAGAGTGCCCAAGGCGTGGCCGATGCTACCCGTGTGCTGCTCGGGTGCATTTGCGTTTAGGGCTTTCGAGTTTTTTCTATGGGTTTAGGGGTTTAGGGGTTTAGGATAGTTTAGGGGTTGAGGGTTTAGGGGTTTAGGGTTTAGGGGTTTCGGGGTTTAGGGGCTTAGGCTTTATTACAGGGTTTAGGGTACCCAGAGTCTCGAATCCCAAAACCCTTCGAACCCTAAACCCTAAACCCCATACCACTATCAGCATCCTGTCTGATTACGATACGCAAGCACCCTGCGCAACACTAAGCGCGAGCCTCTGACCCTAAACCCTAAACCCTAAGCCCCAAACCTAAGCCCTAACCCTAAGCCCTAAACCCTAAGCCCTAACCCTAAACCCCAAACCTCAAACCCCAAACCCTAAGCCTGAAACCCGAAACCTGAGGCATGTCTGACTGTAGCGGTTGGCATTGTCTGACTGTAACAGAGAGGCAAAGGGCCTAAGCAAAACATGCCTGAGGCTTTAATCAATTCTTAAACCTGTTCCCTAAGCCCAAAATCCTAAACCCTGCACCCCAAACCCCTAAACCCTCAACCCTACACCCTACACCCCCAAACCACCACGAACCCCAAGCCATGTTTGGGCACGGCAGCTTCCACCCAGGGCGATGTGCGCGCTGGCTGAATTCGAATCCCGCAAGGAGGCTCTCGCCTTAGGCCAGGAGCATCTCAAGGACTCTTTGGGGCTTTGGGCTTTTAGGGTCGTATTGGGCTTTGGGGCTTAGGCCATAGGGTTTAGGGTTTAGGGTCGTATTGGGTTTTGGGGCTTAGGGTATAGGGTTTAGGGTCGTATTGGGCTTTGGGGTTTAGGGTTTCTAGGGTTTAGCGTATTGGGTATTGGGTTTGGGGTTCAGGGCTTGAAGTTTGTTTTCAGGGGTTTTTAGACGGGTTGTTTGAGGTGTTCTAGATACTTAGTAGCACCTCAAGGACTCCAGTGCTTTGGGGTTTTGAGGGTCTTGATAGTTTTCTTCCCAACGACGGCTAGATAGGCCTTAATGGTTTGATTATGGGTTGTCAATGTTTGTTTAGAAGAGTCGGTTTTAACCAAGGCTTTTGTCTCGGATTTGATCGGTTCTTACAAGCGTCCTACTTCTTTTCTTGGCTTATCACAATTTCTTGCAGGGTGGTTGAACCCTACACCCTTAATCCACAGTGTGGCTGTGGGTTTGGGTTCAATGTTTGCGGCACCGAGGTTGAGGTATTCTGGGCTTCTGCTTCTTCGGGAGCGAGTTTGTTTCGAAGAGCTGCTTGTGAAGGAAGAAAACCCTAAACCCTAAACCCTAACCTCTTTCGAGATCAGGGGTGCCGAGATCGATGGTCAGAACGTGTCTTAACGAAATGGAGGTTGAATGAAGAGCAGCAATGTAGTGCCAGTGAGACATAGTGAGACAAGACGACGAGGAAAACGATGCCAGGTATCAGCGGATCTGGCATATCTAGGCACGCTACGTTTCCTCAACCCTGAACTTGACACCCTCCACTCAACCCCCCACAGTCCGCAAACCTTCAATGTGTAGAAGCCTTCAAAAGCCCTAGAATCCCTAAACTCTCGAACCTAAATCCTAAGCTCCCAACCATAAGAGCTTAAGGGTTTCGAGTTTAAGGCTTTGGGTTTATATAGAGCTTGAGGGTTTGGGAATCCTAAACTCCCAACCATAAGAGCTGAACACCAGACCCTCAACTCTCAACCGGAAATCCTTCGCTGACCCCAAACCTTAAGACCTAAACCCTCAACTCTAAACCCTAGGCCCTCAGCCCTAAACCCTAAAGCCCTAAGCAGGACGTCCGTGCGGCTGGAAACAAAGAGCAGGAGGCCATGGCCTTGCAGTCCCTGGCAGAGGTGCTCAAGGGGAATCTGCTGTTTGGGGGCCTAGGGCTGGTTTTCGGATTGAGGGCTTACTGGGTTGTTGTTAAGGGATTTTCTTTAAGGTGCCATAATGGGGACCTGTAGCAAATAGCATGGTTTCTTTATTATGGTAACTTAAACTAAATCCCCTAGCAAGAACCCGGCTTAGGGTTTACGGTTTAGGGTGGAGTCCAGGTTTCTCAAGGTTTCCTTCTTGGGGTTCAGGGTTTTGGGGGCTGGGAGGTAAGGGCTCCTACGGTCTCTTACTCTTCCCAGGGTCGAGGAGGGTACAGGCATGTAAATGGCTTTTTTAT